CCCCCCCCCCAAAAAAAAACACGAGGAACTTTAACACTTATGATACAATAATCATTTTTTGACACCAGGAACCAGGATAAGCCGGATGTACAATGCAAACTCAAGGAAAGGAAAACACAAAAGAAGTAGGAATGACAGATTGCGAAGGATTGATCAATTTCGGGCAAAATTAAGTTGATGTCTCTCTACCTTGGCCTCGTCATTTCCATCTGTCACATGTACACGGTCAGATGAGTGTTGCCTCTGATACGACACGAGGTATCTCTTGACATACCGTATGCCCCCTGGGCCTCCTTGCGTGATGACGCCAGACACCAGTGTACTCACAGCGAGGTCAACCTCGATCCAGGAGCCTCTGTTGCTACGTACACAGAACAATGAAGAACAATAAAATATCAGCAATCCAAATCCGACAGGAGTAAAGCTAAGCTTTTGAATGGATGTAGACGCTCTACCCTGCCCTTCGATTTTTCAAAATGATGAAAATAGTGGTGAACACAAAGAAAGCGACAAAAGAGAGAACAGCACGAAAGTCGTCTCTTTCACATTAGATTCCGGACGGAATTGTCGAGAAGGGGCTAAAATCTGATTTTGTGTGTGCACACATAAAACTTTTCAATGTGATTGAAATAGACCTCTGGCGTTAAACAGGTCAGGTCCCATCCCTGTTCGTCTGTACTACTCGTAGCAGGTGTCGGGGTGATCGACGTCATCACCCCTAAAACTCAAATCTAAGACCACGGAATTCTCTACAGGGTCGTGCTTCCGTTTTATTTATTCTCGTGTACATAATAATGTTTCTCTTGGTTGTAGGGTGTATATGTTGGGATGTGAGTGGGGCCCGTAAGGGTGTGTCGTCTGCCTTTGATCCAACCTACCTGTTGGGTGCCCATCGCTCGTTACTGTTAAGGCGTGCATCTGAGGCCAAACAGGAGCCGAAACAAAACGTCTGGTAACTGGACGCTGAGATCCGTTCATCGGGGATAGTCCCGTCCTCCATCCCTAAAGGCCTCGGGGTTGAACACCCGACGGCCGTGGTTCCTGGCTCAGTAGGTCCTGCCTCTACGCTCAAACAAGGGGACAAATGAAACAATTACCGTTCATGACCATGCACTCTCACATTTGCACCAACTTTGAAAATTTGACCACTGCAAAATTCCTAGCCGGGCTTAAACATCAGGCAAATTAGAAAGCAGGGAATACATATATTAAATATATATATATAAGTATGTGTTTTATATATTTTTTTTAGTATTACTATTGGTACGGCACTGTTCACCACGTTCAAAACAACCCCCACAGAGACGACGGTGCGGAGTCCACCCTGAGCAGAAGTACCCCCTCATCGGTTGAAAAGAGCCATGCTGACGGAGAGTGTCCCCTTTTGTTGTTAGCGATGCGACCGCCAAGGCACGTATTTCATTTTTTTTTTTTTGAACCAGCTAAGTGCAGGAGCTTCCGTTGCTAGGAAAATTGCTGTTAGTCGCATTTGGGGATCATACTAAAAGGTTGGATTCGGGCTGACTGTTCTTGACATTGGTTTCTTGTTCTCACACTCGAACGGCGGGAACTTGACCCTAAAACACTGTACTTGGAGCAAGACCATCAATTTCCAAGTGTCGTTTGAAAACTAGGGAGTAAAAACCAGCCATTGTCCTCATTGCTCTGATTTGGTCTACCTAGGCGTAGCGCATCTAAAACTTGTGAGCTTAGATGTCGCCAATCCAATTATCTTATCCAAGAGACATATCTCCTTTGTCTTTGGCGCAATCATCAGGAAATTATCCACTGCACTCAAACTTACAACTAGTTTTGCTAGCAAGAGGAGTTTCGCAGTCAGGGTCAAACACAATCACAGCCTCATGGAGGAACCAGTGGATGGCCATGGAGAATGTAGGCTTGCTTGTGTGTTGATCCAGTTTGATCTTCTTTAGCAGATTTCTTGGCCTTGTTACACCATTAGTTTGTTGATGGTTTGAATTGACGGAAACCTCAACGTGCGTCATTTGACCATTTTTTAGATTATCCATTGGTGGGATGTGCTCCTTTAGTCAGCATCATCGGTCAAACGCTTTTTTAATGTGGTTTTAAATTTAAGACCGAATCGCGCAAGATGCAGAGCCACTAGGTAAGTTACCGTCGTACTGAATTTCATCAAAAATTGGCCTGACAGTAATTAAGGAACTGATATTGAAGCTACCTCTGCTAAATGCCCTGGTCACGGACGGTCGGTGTTTTTGATTAATTGCTCATGATGTTGAACATTACTTCGGTGTTTGTTGATGGAAGATCTGAATTATTCTCAACCAGGAAATCCGAGGAAGTGTCGGTTGACAAGCCTTTCATGAGGCAGTGGCATAAATTTGTGCCAAAAATGGGGAGGGGGTTAGGGAAAGGCCGGATTGCCTTGCCCAGCCATGAAAATTTGAAAGAGGGGGGGACACCAATATGAACCTATTTAGATGGCGATGCTCTTGATATTAATGTACATCTTCTTTTTCAGAATGGCATATTAATGGATGTTAATTAAAAATTGTTTCCTTTTTTC